GCAGGGGGGGCGAGGGGGCTCCTTAGCCGTGGGGCCGGAGCACACTGGCTGCCAGCCCCACTGCCTAGGATTATAGAATAGCTGAGTATCTGATAAGAATTCATAGAGTTACTCAACTACTCAATTACCCAACATCTAACATCCCTAGTGTAGACATGGGAGGCAATGCTTGAGCATGTAGAGAGCTGCATAGAGTATATATTCATGTGTTCCCCATGGAGGACACTCTACTCTCCTAAGCCATGTCTACACTATTTACTGCTAGTGAGGCGTGCAGTGCCTGTACTTTATATGCAGCTGTAAATGTAGACGTACATTCTGTACAGCTATAGACTCATTCTATAATTGTGCAGAAGTACCATAAACAGAGGAGCATCAATCCTTCCATTACTCTACACTATTTAAAGTAATAGTCAAGACAGAAATAGTGGACTTATGCGCAGACTTCTTTTTAGAAGTTGTGCCATTGGGCAGAAAATCCAAACTGAACTCAGTGTCTGTTAAAAGTGGTCAATGATATCTCTAAGTTGAATGATAATGTACTTTGGAATATTTACATTATATTGTAACTTGCTGGACTGCATACATATACCAAACCAACTATTTATACCAGTATCTGGAAAAAAAATCCAGCACTCCTGACTGGTCACCAAAATGAGCAGAACTTAATTTGCTACTGAATTCTTTTCCATATGCTGATAACCATGACAGACACAAAAATTCATCTGTCCATCAGTCGGAATTTCCTCTCATTGCAATAGAAAATGGGTAACATTTTACCTTTCCTTGTTTAGACATGTTAATCTTGATAGCAGACACTTTTCCCACATGATCTCCTACAAAAACTCGAAGCGTAGCTGTATCCCAACAAAGAGCTGTTATTTTTTTGCCCTTGTGCTCAGTGGAAACATAAATCCATGCTGGCTTCCCCCCTGGTGGCTGGGGGAAGGGGTCGAGAAAAGGCCTGTGCCAGATGGTATCCTCCATCCAGAGCACCTCCTCACCTCTCCAACCCTCATGGATAGCATCATTTTCACATTTATCCATGACTCTTTTCATCCATGCCTTCCCCCACACCTGTCCTGCAGGGCTGGAGCTCCCCACTCAGGGTGTTGCAGCCAGGCATATGGGACTGCAGCAACACTCAGATTTGGCCTGTCCATGACGAAGAGGTGGCTGGACCAAACCTGAGCAGTGCTGCAATCCCGAATGCCTCCTTGCAATGCCCCAAGTGCAGGACTGCAACATTCAAGGGAGCACTGGTTAGGCTTGCTCTGAAGCCTCATCCTTTTCCATGATAGGATTGGGATTGTGGTGTCAGAGCAGAAGGCGTTTCCCTGCTGCCAGAACCTCTTTCTGCGGCAGGAAAAGGACTCTGGCAGTAGGACACGCCACTGTTAATTACAGCAGTGTAGACTAGGGATGTGTACGTGCATTCGACTATACAATTAACAGATAAGCCTTGACATCCCCCACATGGAGGATACAGCATGGGGCGGCAAGGGGCTCCCTAGCCGTGGGGCCGGAGCACACTGGCTGCCAGCCCCCAAGCCAGATGGCCAGAGTGGTGCCAGTGTTGGGAGGACAGGCTGTGCAGCACAGCCCCCAACTTGCCTGCCCCAGCCTCTGGACTCACAACAGCAGGCAGAAGGACTCCAGCACTGCCTTCCCCTGCCTAGGATACCCACTACCCATGGTGCTCTGACATGCCGGTGACTGAGTGCTAGATGCACCTATTCACTAAGGTGGCTGCGGAACAGAGAAGATTTTACAATATTAACTGGACTCATAATAGCAACTTTCAAGTATCTAACAGGGTGTTACAAGGAGGAGGGGGGAAAATTGCTCTCCTTGGCCTCTGAGGACAGGACAAGAAGCAATGGGCTTAAACTGCAGCAGGAGAGGTTGAGGTTGGACATTAGGGAAAACTTCCTACTTGTCAGGGTGGTTAAACACTGGAATACATTGCCTAGGGAGGCTGTGGAATCTCCATCACTGGAGATATTGAATAGCAAGTTAGACAAACATTTGTCAAGGATGACCCAAGAGGGCAGGGGACTGGATTTGACAATCTCTTGAGGTTCCTTCCAGTTTTAGTATTCTATGATTTCATCTGATATGGTGGTGGTGGACAGCATTTGGAGGCAATGATTGGGTTAATGATGTAATTAGCTCATTAAGGGGAGATATAATTGACAGGAACAAGAGATAAGGAGGAGAGTTATGAGAAGGATAGGGCATGTCTGTTCTGCAGTGCTTAGACTCAAAAGAGGAAAGTTACACGTGGGGAAAGGAAATAATATACATGTCCACTAAGAACCCATGCAAAGAGCTATTACAATTACACATGCAACTAAACTATGCTGTGCGGCATCTCCTAGCCAAATAGCAATTTCACACAGTACAAGAGCCTACGGCCTGGAGAATCCACAACTTCCTTTAAACTGAAGCTTTCTTCAGCTACCCGGCAAAGCTCCCCAACGGGGAGCCGGGGGGAGGGGTATGGGCGCAATAGGACAGGAGCACTCCTGAGTTATTACAGACCAGAGTATAAACAGAACAAATAAATATAGAGCTGCTTTATTACAAGGCTGGTCTGCTCTGGTGGTTGGCTGATTACAGAGCAGGTCTCTCCAGAGCTACACAAGTCCAGACCTCAATAAAGGCCAGATTGGAGCTCCCTTTTCTTATTTACAACTTCGGCGTGTGCCTTTGCTCTGGTGCGCGGCCCCAGCACACTGCTCGCCAACACCGGCTCACAGAGGGAAGCAACAGGGCAGCAGGAGAAAATAAAAGCTTAAACAAATACGGACTAAGTGATGAGCAGGGGCAGGCAGGATCTTTAGCCTCACAGACAAGCACTAAAAATACAGTTTGTTTTCCTAAGAAACCAGCAGCTCCCCAAACCAGAGATTAAAAAACAAAACCATAAAAATATAGATCCATGGGGGGAGGGGATGGGGAACCCAAGAACGAGGAAAGAAAAACACCTCTATGAGTAAGATACACACATGACGTACAGGAGATTTACATTTAAGAGAAATGGTCTTTCGAAGATGACCATCATTTCTACCAATAGTGAAGAAAAACTGTTTGTGGAAAAGAGGCAAGCTAAACAAAGACTTTATTTTAATATAAAAGGTTGCATGTTTGAATTCTAGGATAATGAAAAGTGCTAGACTGACAGTTCTGAAAATCCAAGTGCTACATTTATCCAAAGGTAGGACCACTGCATGCTTCCACACAGCAACCTACCATTGTACATCAGCCCTGACTGGGAGGGTTGCTCACTCAGTTCTTGGCCTCTGTTCTGAAACTGCCAGTAGAAGTGTCAGTTGTGAGCTAAATACATGCAACTAACTGGAATTTCAGCTACCCATTTCACTTTTTCCCACTCAGGAGACATACTTTCATACGTTGCTGAAATGTCGCAAGCCCTAGCTAACGAGCAAACTGACCAGCATGGCTATGGTATAAGTTACTCCACAACAGCTCTTTCTGTGGGAACTCTTCAAAATAATTACTCTACTAGAAAAGTGATGGGCAGCTACCATTCAGGTCAATTTTCTTTTGTAGATAAGGCCTCAAAATTTGCAAATCCACACCAGAAGAGTTGCCTTATATGTTTGGAGTAGGAAGGGGACAATTAGTTTAATCAAATCTCTCACCTGGTGGCAACAGCTACATAATCTTCATCATATAGAGAACAGGCAACCCGGGAAATTGCACCTTCCTGAGGCAAGAAAGACTAGTCAAGTGATGCAGTAAGTAGATTTACAAGTGCAGTAGTAAAGTCAGTTCTCATTAGTACATTTAGTTATAAACAGTTCTTATCCTCTATCTGCAAACTACAACAAGAGATGAAAGTCAGTCTACATAGCCACTTCAAGTGTTCTTGGATTCTTTACCTTCTCTTCAGTTTTTTTTAAAGTGAACTTACTGTTATAAAAAGTATAACTGGTAGCCCTGAAGACAGAACCTCTGAATTTATCCACAGAAGAGGACCATAAATAGTGACAATGGAAACTACTTCGACGCAGTCTAAACAACATCTCAAATTCTGAACAAAGAGGAACCAGCTCCACGCAACAAAGATTTGGTTTCCAAGCCCATAACTGTCAATTTGTTTGAGATTATAACCAGTCTATCCAAAAGGAACTGAAAGAAGTTGGTGGTTTCAATTCACTAAGCAGTGTTAAATTGTAGATATGTGATCACTGTGGTTTAATGTTGGATTCCAAACTGATAACTCAATACAAAGGCCTCCATAATGAATTACCAATTACCAGTGCAAACAGGTTCACTTGACAATCTATTTTAGCTAGGGAGGTAATAGTGTATCTGGCTAAATGATTAACCAATAAGCAGGTATTAGCAGCAACACATCTCCCTCCTCCCCCTCCACCCCGCCCCTCCCCAGCTCTGAAAGTAATTTTTTTAGCAAGCTTGCTAGCAGGATGTCCAATTCCAAGCTCATTCCAGGTCCCAGCAGCTACCACCGCTGCAGCTCTGCTCAAAATGTTATTTAGTCTGCCTTCTTGCCAGCTCCTAAATAACTTTTTGTGCAAAGCCACAGTGGAGGTAGCTGCTGGGAGTTGGCATAAGCCAGGACTGAGCCAGCCTGCCTGCCCACTGGCTCCTAGAATGCTTTACTTGCAGAGCTGTACCGGGATTGCTGCCAGGACCCGATGCGAGCTGGGGCTGAGCCAGCCTGCCTGATGGCTCCTAAATAACTTTTCTTGCAGAGCTACAGCAGGGGTAGCTGCCGGGACCTGGCGCAAGCCGGGATCAAGCCAGCCTGCCTGCCTGCCAGCTCGCTCCAAAGCTACTTTCAATGCAGAGCTGCTTATTGGGTAAACATATAACTGACAAAATAATTGTCAGCTACACAGTTACTGGATTACATGCAATTTAACATCCCTAATTTAAAAGACAAATGTCCTGAACATGGAAAGTAAGTACACGTTTTGTATTAGACGGCATCCTCATCTCTGTGGACTTCAGTAACAAAGGGGATCTTTCGTATGGCCTTTAAGCCAAATGCAAATCTGTGGTTATATATTTTTTTCAATTGTAAACATGACTCAAGTTTCCTTGAAGTGTAACTTTGAAAAGTAACTACATAGAGGAGAAATCCTAGCATAAAGGATAACAATAAAAGCATAACTGTCCGTCTCAACAAGACCAAGAAAAGAACACAACAGAAACTTCTTTAATAGAGGTGCCTCCAAATCACTTGGTTGACAAGGACCTTTAGTGATCTCATCACCTGCATCAGTTAGAAATCAAGACTTTTAAATAAAACCTTTATTCATCCATCATCCCCCCACAAAAATGAAACACACCATTTGATACCCTAATATTGCAGCGATTGAATAAAGCAGCTTTTTGAAAACTGAGCCACCACCCTTCCCGCAGAAAAATTAAATCTATCGTATGTGGCTTAAAGTCAACAATCCTTTAATTTATACATTGTCCACGCTTCCTCCAGCCCAAGTTAGTCTTTTAGACTTTCATAATATACTCTCTTCCCTCTCTTATATACAGTGAGCAGAGTAATAGGTAAAAATGTTAATATTTATAGAATCATTACTGGCATTTGAATTAGCACTCGTTGAAATAAATGAGCCAGACAACAGCGCAGTTTGTGTTTCGGGTTCTCTGCAAATTGAGATAGATGTCTCCAAATTGATTATGCTGACTTCATATTTTGAAGGTTTTGTTCTGAACCATGACTGATATATTTTTTAAAAGGTAAGCTATAACTCTGTAGAACTGAGAAGCCTATGCATCCTTTCAGACTCCTCCTTCACTCCCACATGCACACACTTTGCAAAGCACTATTTTTGCATACAACAGCATCTCTCGCTAAAGACAAGTAAGGAAATTCAGCTTATCTGGATAATTCAAACAGTCTTTACATTCCTGGGACTTAATATAAAGATACCATTTTCTTGCTTCTGCAACTGAAATATTACCCTTCCTGAAGGTTTACATACAATTCTTAACCTTACCTTATGAGTGAGGAACAGCCTTTGTTTCCAGCCATCTTTTTGAATCAGGTTTAGTCCCCCTCCTGAACTGCCCAGAGCCAGCCATTTCCGAGACACGGCTATACATGTGCACTGAAAGAATTACATCACATGATGGCTACATAAATAAATGTAAATTCCACCGATAGTGGCATCTCATTTTTCCTCAAAGCTGCTTTTTAAAAAGCAAACAAAAAAAACCAAACAAACAAAGAGCCCATTCTGAAGTATGTAACAGCAAAGTCAAGCTGTCAGAGAAGTGCAACAGTGCATTCTAAGAGAAGAATGAACAGCAAAAGCAAACAAACCAGAGGGCTCTTTC